GGACTGTTCCTGAATAAGAAACTGCCAGCCTGAGAAACCACTTTGCTAATATGTATTTATTTTTACAGACTGTAGGATTTGGCTATAGATAGATATTACATATAGCGGTGTGAAACATTGGTGGCCTGTGTTTAAAAAAATGTTTTACTTCATGACAGCATTAGTGGCCTCTGTCTGCTTCTCAGGCATGGACTCAAACAGAAAATGCAGCAACAGCTGCAGAAAGCAAAACCTCTCTGCAGTGGCCAGCTTCAAAGAGACAAGTTTCATGATGACATCTTTCAATTATACATCAGAGCCAATAAGCAGGAAAATGGAAACAAGCAGCTGAGGTCCCCCGTTGACGCTGCCGTGTGCCGAGAAAGGGCAGGTTGAAGAACCGCCCGCAGGAGAAGCTGCTGCTTCAGGAGCTGGTCAGTAAGAAAGGCTAAGAGGGAGCAGAAAACAAGAGTGGCCTTTCCCAATATGGGCCATTTATAGTCCATGGGAAAGGATTCCTGATTCTGAACTGTTCTGCCGGTTGCAATCCACTAATGCTCATGAGCTACAAAAGCACACTGCTTGGTTTTGTTTTTAAACTCCACACTGATGTTTTATTCCCCCCACTGCTTGCACTGGCTTTAACTGCTGGAGACAGAAAGGAGACCTCGGAGGCCTGACGCCTGCCCTTCTCCATTCCCTACTGTGAATTTACCCCACGAGAGGAGACCTTACCTTCACTGCAGCTAAACCCGGAGAAGCAGCTTCTAGCTGATCCTCGAGTTCATCAGCGTTCTCCTGAGGAAGCAGGAGACACATCAGATGAGATACATGTTCCACATAGCTGGCCAACCACATTTCATCCTGCTCCACTGCCCTTGGGACTCCAGCTTCTGTCAGCAACCCTGATGCCTGGCCTTTTTCACTGAACTCTTAGGCGTGGCAAGCGCCTGGCTTAGCGACAACAACAGAGACCCCCCTCGCTCTTTAGGCAAGGCCCTAGGTGGGGCTCAGACTACAAGAAGACCTCAGCCAAACCTAGACGCTAAGAAGATTCCAAAGGAACCGCACAGAAGTCACAAAAAAAGTTACCTCGCTCTCCATGAGCTGGTCTGGGAGCTCCTTCATCTCCACGTCAATGTTGTCTTTGTCTGAATCGAGGACATTTTCGGAGCCGAAATCCTCCCCACCGTCCACCGCGCTGGAGTTGTCTATTTCTGCTTCGTCCAAAACGCTGATGTCCATCATGTCAATGTCCTGCAGGTTCTCGGAACTGGCTTCGGTGTCCTCCTGTTGTGGGGAGGAGGGGAGGGGACGTACAACACAGAGATCAGGAGAAAAAGCGCATCCCGGCATGGGCTTTAAAATCAGCTTTAGTAATGCTTCCCCTTCCCTCCGTACCTGCCCATCTCTCGAATTCTCCTCCAAACAATTGTCGTCGCCACTTTCATCTTCCGGCTTTCGCCCTGAAAAACAAGGGATGGATTCAGGATCAGTGACAGAACAGGCGGCCTTTTCCAAAGCTTTCCCCAGTCCCCCCCCCCACTTCAAAGAGAGCATCATTACCTTAAAATCAATACGGGAAGACTTGAAAGTTGGATACAGGGTCCAAAGAGAACCACTTTTACATCTGTACTTCTTTATACAGACTTCCTTTACTACGAAATGCACGCTTTGGATGGTAAGTATAACTCTGCAGATTTCCACCTAACGGAGGGCGCTTGCACTTTATGGTTCTGAAGTCTGAACTGCTGGATGGCGCCACACTTTTCAGCCAGCCTGACTCTAAGGGAGGCTATAATTCTCCTGACAAGACATGACTTTGGTTCCTAGACTAATCCCCTAAAATATGAAAGTTGGCCACCCCAATTTAAAAGTCTGACTAGGAAGGTCCTTTCGAGGAGAAAGGCAGGCTAATTTCTTTTAAAAATTAAATAATGTGGCAGTAATGTCTTATTAGTCTTTTATTGTCCATTATACTCTACAGCTGGTCTCTTGCCCATTGCTACCATCTTGAATTTTAGGTCTGCTGTTCTTTTATATTATTTTTAATTTATATGTGCAGATTTGGTAGTATCTGGCTGTTTTTTTCATTGCTAGAAAGCACACAGAATAGTTCAAATAAAACAGAATGAATGAAAAATAAACAAGTAAACAAACAAATAATGCATTGCAACCTATTCCTGCAGGCTCCACCTGCTTTTACTTCAACTTACATTTCTGACCTATACAACGCTTGGGGAAAAACCCAAATGAGCCCTACTTTTGAGTTTACAATCTTAAAGGTCGTGACATAAAACGAGAAAACTATGCATAATCTATCCGTGTAAAATAAAAAGGCTAAGAGGGGGAAAAAACCTACCCGCAACAAAAAAGCAAGTTCGACTTGGTAGCCGTTTTGTACCTTTCACAGTCCTTTTGGGCGTTTTTTTGCTGGCACTCTCTGAAGCCACTGGGACTTCATCGGGGTTCCCACCTTCTTCTTCAATTGCCTGTTAGGAAGGGAAAATGGCGTGAGTATTTCAGACACTCTGCGGAGATGTGCGGAAGGACGCCGTTCCTGGCAAGGAAGAACAAGCCCAGGTAACTCAGCTTTTCTGTGCTATTGGCTACTGATGGTGGACATCCTCCCCTGCAGCCTTACACAGCGGATATAGAAAGTTTACACACCCGTTAAAATGTCAAGTGTCTGTGATGTTAGAAAAATGAGACAAATATAAATCATTTCAGAATTTCTTCCACCTTTAATGAGACCCATGAACGGTACAGTTCAGTTGAACATTTCAGTTGAACAACAAAATGAAATATTTTAGGGGGAGGGAAGTAAAAATAAAAAACTGAAATAATATGGTTGCATCTGTGAGCACGCCCTTAAACTAATACTTTTGTCAAAGCACCTTTTGATATTATAGCACTCAGCCTTTTTGGGTAGGAGTCCCATTAGTATGGTACATCTTGACTTGGCAATATTTGCCCATTCTTTGCAAAAACGCTCCAAATCTGTCAGATAGCAAGGGTATCTGTGCACAGCCCTCTTCAGATCACCCCACAAATATTCAATTGGATTCAGGTCTGGGCTCTGGCTGGGCCATTTCAAAAACGTTAATCTTCTTCTGGTGAAGCCATTCCTTTGTTCATTTGGATGTATGCTTTGGATCATTGTCACGGTGAAAGATGAAGTTCCTCCTTATGTTCAGCTTTTAAGGTTTTGTGCCAATATTGACTTGGAACTATTCATAATTCCCTCTACAATGACTAAAGAAAAATAGCCGCAAAGCATAATGCTGCCACCACCATGCTTCACTGTGGACATGGTGTTCTTTTGGTGATGTGCAGTGTTATTTTTGCACCAAACATATCTTTTGGAATTAGGGCCAAAAAGATCAATCTTGGTTTCATCAGACCATAACACTTTTTCCCACATGCTTTTGGGAGACTTCAGATGTTTGATACTCCCAGAGCTCGGTGTCTTAGCTAATTCTATTAAGCTAAAGCCCAAGCAATAATAATAAGTTGAAAGTTTATTGGAGGAAAGGGCGACAGGTTTATTCAGATAAGACAAGTGCACACTGGGGTGCTCAGTTGGGTGGGGGACCCAGAGATGAACAGGGTTAAAGATTTTATGCAGTTCTAAAAAGGAAACAAAAGTATGCAGCAGTTCACTGGTCCTTGAGGTGAATTGGTTACAATTTCTCGCATCTCTGCAAAGCAGTTAGTTTCTCATGCACAGAGCAGCTGATCTCTAAGGAATGTTGAATCTTCCTTACAAAGCGCTACTTTTTGTTTGGCACTTGCTCCCTTCTTGCATGTGTTTTTGCAAATTTTAGCTGGACTTGGATGTTTTTCTTCATAAGAAAAGGCTTCCATTTTGCCACTCTACCCCACAGCCCAGATATATGAAGAATATGGGAGATTGTTGTCACATATACCACACAGCCAGATATTCCTTTAATGTGGCTGTAGGCCTCTTGGCAGCCTCCCTGATCAATTTGCTTCTAGTCTTTTCATCAATTTTGCAGGGACGTCCAGTTCTTGGTAATGTCACTGTTGTGCCATATTTTCTCCACTTGATGATGACTGTGTTCCATGGTACAGTATATCTAATACCTTGGAAAACTTTTTTGTACCCTTCTCCTGACTGATACCTTTTCACAATGAGATTCCCTCTGATGCTTTGGAAGCTCTCTGCAGACCATGGTTTCTGCTGTAGGATGTAACCAAGAAAATGTCAAGAAAGACCTACTAGCACAGCTGATCTTTATTTGGGATTCCTCAGAGGCACTTTAAATGATGGCAAAGGTGTCCCACCCCTGCTTAACACGAGTTTGATTGTGACTATTTACTGCTGAACACAGCTACATCCCCAATTATAAGAGAGCGTGCACACAGAATGCAACCATATTATTCCAGTTTTTTATTTTTACTTTCCTCCCCCTAAAATATTTCAGTTTGTTGTTCAACTGAGTCATACAGTTCATAGGTCTCATTAAAGGTGAAAGAAGTTCTGAAATGATTTATCTTTGCCTCATATTTTTACATCACAGACACCTGACATTTTAACAGGGGTGTGTAAACTTTTTATATCAACTGTAGGCTCCCTCATTTGAATAAAAAAAAGGAGACTGCTCAGGAGACTCTGATTTTCCCCCCAGTACAAAAGCCCACAAGCAGTTCCAGGACGCTGGAGCACCCTCCCTCTAGCAGGGTCAAAGAACTGGCACTGACGGCTGTTCTGCCTCTGATACTAGAAATCAGATGTGAGGGGAAAACCACACCTCTGCACCCTTCTACTGGGAAGGATAGCGAGCCATCTCCACCCGGCATCTATTGGTGCCAGTGCAGGATGGCATGGACGGCAATCCACTACTCTTTCAGGCCCAAGGAACCCAACAGCCAGGCCAGGTTTATCTAGTAGTGGGGGAAAAGAACGTGGGGCCAAGGGGAATGACAACAATATGTTTCCAATTATTTGAGAGTTGCCAGGGCGATGATGCCATTTCTTCACCTGGGTGGCCATAATGGTGGGCATTTAGGCACTTCTTTAACTGCCTGGTGGGCTTGTGAGGATTTCTTTACCTGGGTGGTGAGCAATTCTTTACACGGGTGGCAGTTCCTCAGACCCCTCTTTAAGTAGTTAATGGGATTCAGGCTTTTCGGGTGGTGAACATTTGGGCACATCTTTGCCCCAATGGTGAGCATTTCTTGACCCAAGCGGGCGGGCATTCAAGCACTCTTTTAATTGGCATTGCTGGATTTCTTTGCCGGGGTGGTTGAAGTGCCCACTATGAAGAACGCCCGGGTCGCCCCAGCCATTCATATACTGATACCCTGATATTCAGCCCCCAAATCTACCCCCCCACACCCTGATTGTCCTCTGCTATGTTCATCTCCTGATTTTCCTCTAAGGCCCTCAACATGGCTCTTAACCCTCCCCAGGTTTTCAAAAAACAGTTCCTTGGTACTCTTTCCAAAGGTACCAACATAGCACGTCTAGGAGGTGCCATGGAACCGAAGGCACCTTGGGGACCCCCATTCCGTCACCCCCTCCCTCCTGAATTCAGCAGACCCACCTGAACCAAACGGATGGATTCCCTGGAGCATCACTCTCCCCTTGGAGCAACACCGAACAATTCAGAGTTAGGCATTATCGCCCAGGCAGTGAACTACAATTATTTGTGACCGATTGGCCTCTTTTGATCCCTCCCTTCAGGGGAGACGCACTAGAAACACCACTGTGGAATTGCCCACAAAAATAATTGTCTTTAGGGTGCCATGGTTTTGGATTTATAGACACATATATACATAAATGAAATCCACACATTTACAAAAACATACTCGCACATGTACAAAATATGTACACACAAATGTGTGTGCCTGTCTAACTAACTTATCTATAAATCTATATAGACTTAAGTATGTGTAGGTGTCGATAAAGATGGAAAGAGGCATGTAGACAGATATATAATTAAGGACATAAACATATTTTCTTTTCCCAAGTCAGTGTTCTATAGCATCGGAGAATACACAGCGGATGGGGAAGGTCCCACTCCCTGCTCTCTTTCTAGGGATGGAGATCCACTGATCTATCTCCATCCCGAAAGAGAGCATGTACTGTATATCTATCTCTCTGCACCTATCTAGATACGTGTCTGGGTAGGTCTCTATCTAGATACTGTACTGTATCGATATTAAGGAACCCCAGGGTTTGTCCTAGATCGGTAAGACCGATCGACAGAAACAGACCAACTTGCGGCCCTTTAAAAGATTTAAGGGTTAGAAGGGAGGATCCAGGCAGGGTCTTCCAGGGCCAAGATTCCGAGATTGGTTTATTTTATTTTTCTAACTCTCTTAGTTTGGGCCTTTCCTCCCTTTCTGCCCGGAGGGAGGTCACGGGCCTCGTCTCTCCGGAGGCCCAACCAGGGCGGGCGAGCAGGCAGGGAGGGGGGAGGGGGGAGAGGAAAGGACAGACCTTTAAGACACCCCCCGCCCACATACACACGCAGAAGAGAAGGGGGGGAAGTGTTTTTGGTTTTTTTTTGCGGAGGATGGGGGTGAGGAAAGGAGCCCTCCCCCCCCAGGCCGCTGTTCCTTCTCGGCGTGGGTCCGGCGGCGGGACGAGGCCCGGAACGGAGGGCCGTTAGAGCCGGAGGGAGCAGTCTTTCCCCTTTCTTTCTCCCCCCTCGCCGGGGTGGGTGACGTCACGCGTCCCCCGCCCGTGGAGGGTGGGGAGAAAAAAGAGGACAAGGGGCCTCCCTCCGAAAAGAAAAAAAATATGTACAGCATATAAAAGGCGAGCAAGGCCCTGCCGGAGGATCCAGGAGGGCCTTTCTCCCCCCCTCTTTTCCTCGGGGGGGCCTTGAGGGATGGGCCTTTTTTCTTCTTCTCCACCTCAGGGGTGGGGCTCATCTAGGGTCTTTCTCGGCCTTTCATTCTTTCCCTCAGGGGTGGGGGGTGGAGAGGCAAGAAAAGAAAAAAAAAGGGGGGGCGCTTACGGTGCGGAGGCGCTCGAGCAGGACGCTCTTGTTGCCGCCGGAGTCCAGGTTGCGGCGCTTCAGCTCGGCCCGCAGGTCGATCACCCTCAGGTCGGCCAGGCGCCGGGTGGACGGCGACGAGGACGACGACCCCGGAGGAGGAGGAGGGAGGAGAGAAGGCGCCGCCGCCCCGGCCCCGCTGAGGGAAGGCGAGGACGGAGAAGGCAGAACAGGGGCCCCCGCCGTCGCCTCTCCTTCTCCCGCCGTAGCTCCGGCCGCCTCCTCTCCGCCGGGCCCCTCCGGGCCTTGGCTCGCCTCAGCGGTCGCCATCCGCAAACAACAACCGCCGCTTCGGAGAAAGCCCGCCTCGGCTTTCTTCCCGCATGAAACGAAGGGCGAGAGAGGTTTCTTTCTTTCTTTTCTCCGTCGACGCCGCCAACCGTCCCCGGTTTTACCTCAGACAAAATGGCGGGAAGGCCTCGGGAGAAGAAGAAGGGGGGGAGGCGAAAAGAAAACCACCTCAGGCCAAGCCACAGCCGAGCGGAATAATTAAAAAAAAAAAAAAGCACTCGAGGCGGCGCGCCTGCGTGGAGGAGGAGGAGGAGGCGAGGGAGTATGCGCATGCGCGTGGGCCGCCCCTCCCTTTTCCTCCTATGGAAAGAGAACCGGGGATGGGAGGAGGGAGGGAAGGATGGGAGTACTGCGCAGGCGCAGGACGCCACGGCGAGCAGGAAAAAAAAGCGCGCGCAAGAGAGACGGCAGCTGGGGAAAGTGGAACTGCGCAGGCGTGGAGATGCGGCTGGGTTTTTTTTTTCCTTCTCTAGACTAGAGCGATTAGGCCGGTTTGCGCACGCGCCCTTCTGCGTCAGCCCAAGGAGACGGCAACGTGGGAGGAAGAGCGGCGCGCCTGCGCAGAAAGGGCTTTTCGGGTGAGCGCGAGGACGGCCCTACTGCGTAAACCATAGGGAGGGGAAAGAGAAAAGCGCCTCAATGAGGCTCGGTGTCTTAGTTAATTCTATGAAACCGAGTCCCGAGCAGTAATAAGCGGGCAGTTTCTTGGAGAAAACGGCAAAACGTTTATTCAGGTAAAACAAGTGCACACTCGGGTTCCCAGTAGGGTGGGGACCTTTAGATTTCAACTTTTTATACCTTTTTGTAAAAAAAGAACATTTTTGCAACAGTCCATTCGTTCCTGAGGAATATATGCTCATTGGTGAGAATTTTTCACATTTCAGCCAACCAGGTGCCCATGCACAGAGCAGCTTCTCTCTAAGGGAGGTTGGGTTTTGCTTCCTTGGAAGGCGCTGGGTGCTCTGTAGCCGGTACTTCCGCATTACAATCCCATTTAATATTTCAATCCTAGATTGCCTTTTACTGTAGCTTTGCATCCTACTGTGTTTTTCAAGACGCGAACCGCCTTAGGTGAAAAGCGGGTGCAACACGTTTTAAGGCGGCCAGGAAGGGTGGCCGCAGAGCGCATGCGCCCTTTGGGTCCCCCTCATTGCGCGTGCGCCCGTGGTTCCAATCTCCACGAGCCCCGGCGGTTGGGAGCCATGCGTGGGCGGGGCCGTCCGCGAGGGCCCTCCCCCTCTCCTCGGCGGCCATTTTGCTTGAGGTGGGAGAGCTCGCGCGGGAACGTCAAGGGGGCCTCCCTGTTCGTATTCTAATTATTATTGTTCTTGTTTTATTCGAGGACTCAAGGAGGGACTTTTGCCGTTTGTATTTTTTAAGCCGCCTGCACGAGGCAAGGGGTGGGGCTTTCCGAAGAGGCGAGGCGGTGTTTTGAAAAGGAACAAAATGGCGGCCGAGCCCCTGGCCGCCGAAGCCGCGACGACAGCGGCGGCTCCTTCTTCCCTCAGCGGCGGCTCCGAGGACTCGGCGTCGACCCGGCGCCTGGCCGACCTGAGGGTGATTGACCTGCGGGCCGAGCTGAAGCGCCGCAACCTGGACGCCGGGGGCAACAAGAGCGTCCTGCTCGAGCGCCTCAGGAAGGTAAGGAAAAAAGGTGAGGGGGTGGGGCAAGGAAGGCCTCCCCCCGCTGAGGGGGGAGAGGAGGGCCGCGGAGAGGAAGGGGGTAGGGCCTCTGGGCGCATGCGCCCCTCGAAGGCCAGAAGGCGCTCGAGTCCGGCCGGCCATAGACTCCGGCAGCCTGTAGAGGTGCGCTCGCAGCAGGCCCTTCCGGTTGTCGCTTGGCTTCTCTCCTTGGGTTTTTTGTTGTCTAGGCTTTTCGGGGGTTGGGGAGAAACGAGCCGGAAGACGGGCCGGCAGGGAAGCGGTGGCCCCTGCCTGGCTCGCCTTTCCTCAGCCGCGGGTCCTTTTTAGGACCGTCTTTACCACCAGGGTGGTTGCGGAGGGAAGACATTCATTCATTCATGTCTAGCTCCGTGTGGATGTGCAAAAGCTGTTTCTTCGTTTATTTTATTTATTTATATTATTATTAGCCTTGTTTGTATGACGCTTTTTCCCCCCAAGGAAGGCGGCTCACAGCATTAAAAGTCGCAGAATTAAGACGCAATGCGTTCAATATTAAAAGACAAATTAAACAATATAGGGCTTAAAACAAAGTTAAAAGATTAAAACACGGAAGTAGGGTTATGTGAATCTGTACACCTTTTTTGGGTGGTTTCTCTTGTATTGAAGGGTCAATAACTATAATAAGGCACTCTGTAGATAACAAAAAAAAGATGATGTTTGTGATAAAGGATGGATATAGTGGTTAAACTGCAGTAAGGCAGTGAAGAGGCTGCTCATGACCTGAGTGTGATCCTGGACTCAAGTAGGTGGCTCAGGATGAGACCAACTTGTTGGGGTGGGGCCAATGTGAAGCCTTTATCACTGAAGTTATAAACTGCAGAGTGAGAGCTTTAAACACTGAGGTGGTACATAAGCACTCTTTGATGCAGTTCATAGAAATTAGTGGTGTAATAGGCCTTGAGGTTCTGCTGCCCAAGAAACACGAATTGTATGGACACTTTTACAGCTGCTTTGATCTCTCCAGGCTAGAAAGCTCTGTCTTTAGGGATCTTGAGGTTAATAATTGGGTGAGAGATTTAGACTTCTTCATTAAGAGAGTTCTCCGAACCTGACCTGAAAGACAGCTGAAGTGATTCTAATGGTGGCAGAATTGTGCAGCACAGCTATGGTGACGGCTGCCATGTGCTGTTAAAAGTGGGTTCTGTTTTAGTCACTCATGGCCATGCTGATGATGGATCTGATGATGGCTGTGGACTGAGGTAGCTGGAGAGGTGGATGGTAGGTTGCAGTCTGGCTGGGCAACAGCCCAGGGGATGATGTGATCCCGTCCTTTGGCCATGGAACCCACTCTTGAACCCTGGCACAGCGCACAGGTTCTCTGACTAACTGCATAAGGTAGATGTGCTAGCTGATGTTTTTCCTCCTGCCCATTCTGTCCCTAAACACAGTGCCTCTGCTTTCTTGACAGGCCATTGAGGAGGAAGGCGGAGACCCTGAGGAGGTTCCAGTTCCATCCGAGGCCCCTCCCAAGAAGGTGCCCAAAAGGAGCAGCAAAGGTACGCGGGGAAGGCGGAGGAGGGATCCCTGTTTGTTTGGTTATGTCAGTAAGAAAACGTCCCCCTTGGAGATTTCTGAGTCCCATGGAAAGCTTGGGGAGGTCTCTGGCTTTATTGACACCTAGATGATCAAAACAAGCTGAGTGCGAAATCCAAGCTGGTTTCTGAAGCTGAGGCTTTCAGTGTGGCCTGAACTGGTTCATGTCTTTGATGAGCATGGGCTTTCTGGGGCAGTCTTGTATTGGCACTTATTAGATGTATTTTCCCCTCAGCAGCTTCTAAAGAGCAGTCAGTGATGAGACACTAAAATAATCCTATAACCTTTCAGGTTGTCCCCTGCGGGTGCCTTGCTTTCGATGCTTAACTTCTGCTTCCAGCAGATCGTTTCGTTCCTGTGTGCTCAACAGTGCTATACTTCAAGTCCTTTCACTTGTTCAACTTCTGAAAGGAAAAGGAGGAGCAAACTTCTGTCTTAAGCTTCAGGATGAGACCCTTTTAGGTCCTGGAATCAGACTTTGTGGAATCCACGCTAAACTAAATGCCTAGGCTTAGCATTCTATGGCAAAGTCACCTGAACAATTAGAAATGGCTTCGGTGACCTGAAAGTGTTTCATCTTTTAAACAGTTTTTTGCCACCAGAATATTTTTTTTTTTTTTAAATTTAAAACCCAGCTAGTTTAACATATTTGGACCAAAAAAAATCAATGCCGCTTTAGCAAACTTTGGTGCCAGGAATAGCACCCTTTGGCAACTGGTTGTCTGCCTTCAGAGGGGATAATGAGGAGATTCGTATTAAACCTCAGCCGCAACTCAATGTGTACAATAGAATTCTCGTGTGGTTAGAAAGAACTTCAAGACTCACTCCGTGGTCCTGTGGGTTGAAGGTTAATTCCTCTGATCTCTCCAGGGCGTCGTCCAGAAGAGGAAGGAGTGGACGACAATGGGCTTGAGGACGACTCAGGAGATGGCCAGGTATGGAATGCCCAACCTCTGAAGCAACACCCCCCCCCAAAAAAAAAGTCACAGTTCTGCGGTCGAATCCTAGTTACTATGATTTTTTATTTTTATTTTTTTGCAGGAAGATATTGGAGCAAGTTTGGATAACTTGCAGGACATGGACATGATGGATATTAGTGTTTTAGATGAAGCGGAAACAGATAACAGCAGTGGCGTAGACGGCCAGGAAGAGGAGGAGAGCAGTGCTGATGCTAGACTCGACTCCTTCTCGGGCGGTCAGGACCCTGTGGGTGCAGAGAGGGCAGACGTTCTAGGAGAGCCGGCAGAGTCTCCTGTAGGGAACGTTAAAGATGTTAAAGAAGAAGCGAGAGAAATCCCTGTAGCCGAGGTATGCACCTCTTTTTAAAAGTGTGCCAAGTCAGATGACAAATCGGCAGGTTCCTGGTTTCCACCTTTTCCTCTCAAACTAAAATCCTAGGAAGGGTGGCGGGAGGGGAGGCTGTTAAAAAAAAACAGCTGTAAAAATCATAAGCCCAATTTTATTTTCTCTTGTTTGTATGTTTGTTTGTTCATAGCCATGGTTTAAACCTTTGGCATGCATGCCTCGCAGACATTTCTGTCATGGCAAGAATTTGGGAAGAGTTTTGCTTTCTGACGAATGAGTGCTTCATTTTAACTTTTCTTTTTTTTCCCCTGTGCCTTTCCATCTTTTTATCTTTCTATCTGTCAGAGGAGGGTCTATGGGTGGCGAGGGAGCCCAGGCTTAACACATTTCAGAAGCAGATCCTCAGTTCACAGCCTGAGTTTGATTCTGACCGGCTCAGGTTGAATCAGCCTCCCATCCTTGTAAGCTGGTAAATGGAGCACTTAGCTCGCTGAGGCGGGTCCATAGATAGCCTGCATCATTAAATGGTGAACGGCCAGTAGAGTGCTTTAAGCGTTATGGGGCAGTAGATAAGCAGCACACTTTGCTTTTTGCTTTAAACTTGGCCATGATCCTGGGACCAAGGCGAGGGTGAGAACCAAGCCCGTCCTACAATTATTGTATTTGGATCTGGGAGAGTTGGAACTTTTAAGCCTCCCCGTCTTTACAAACTACAAGCACTTTGGAAGCACAACAGGTGCCTTTTACAGGCTTGGCTTCTGTGTCACACTGAGGCCACCCCACACTCGAGAGCACGTCACCGAGCGTAAGGAGAAGCTGGTTGCATAGAAATTAGACAAAGGGAGAGAAATCTAGACCTGGCGAAGAGCGCCACAAGATGGTTTGGACTGCCAGCCCCTTATGGACCATTGGCCCTACTGAATGGGGAGGATGAACGTTGGAGTCCAGAAGGCCAAAGAGCCATCCCTGGTCACTTGGAGAGCACTGCCTTTTTGCTCAGACCTCTGTGCTGAGCCGCGTGGGTAACGGAACAGTAGACTAGGCTGCCTGAATCCATACCGTACTCTCGTCTTGTGGGGACTCTTGCTGCTTAGATGCATCTCCCCAGATGTGACACTGTCAGAAAGCCAAATAGAAGTGTCTCTTTTCTCCTGGTTTTCTCTTGGGTTCTCAAACAACACGCCCTACCCTCTTATTGAAGTACGGGTTGGGGGGATGCGTCTGATACCATCTTGTAAGTAAAGCGTTGTAGACCTTTCCAATGTTAGTCTTGTATACAAAGAACAGTGTCATTATCGTTATTACAATTATTTCTTTGGTTTATACATTGGCCCATGAGTGTGACACACTCTTCTGGGCGATAGACAAAAAAGGTCTGGAGTCTCACAGGCTCTTTTAAAAGCCAGCATGTTCCATCTGGCATAAACCTTTTCATGGTATGGCAACCCAGTGGCGTCTGTGAAGCCCCTGGAAATGTGGATTTCTCAGATGTTCTTTTTATCTTGTAGACCTGCTCGCATCTTGTGGCCGACCACGTACTGCTTCTTAAATGCTCTTACCCCCGTTGTGTGCATTTTAAAAAGTGAACAGATGGAGAGCTGAGGGGTTTAGCTCTCTGACTGCGGAGTCAGAGGTTATGATCCTCCTTCAATGGGGGCCAAAGTCCCAGCCTTGCACTTCTGCACTCAGGATTAATACACGAAGAAAGGGTGGCGCTGAGTGATATGGTGTGGTAGGAATGTGAAGACTTGAAGCCTTCCTGGGGACAGAACCATTAACCATCACAACTACCTCACTGTCAAAAGATTTTTGCCATTCTTTCCCCCATCTTTTTTAAGTTACCCCACTCCATTTATTACTCTTAAGGTGGAGTGTGATTGGGTTCAGCTTCTGCTGGGGCGGCCCCTGAGTTTGCGCGGGAAGGATAGTCAGAGGCAGTTCTGTATTTTTAACATTCTTCTTTATTATTAAACAAATATAACTCAACAGTCTCGAATGGGTCCATCAAACTTAACTCTGGTAAAATTCTATAACTTCTTACTTTGACATCAGGCATCCTCAAGTCACTCCCTATAGAGGGGCTGGACCAAACCGCTCACGATCCGTCATTAGGCTCACTGGGGTGCTCCTCATGGCACAGACTGTCTCACAGCATGGGTGTCTTGCCCAGTCCCCCTCGCGTGGTTGATGGGGTAAAGAGAGATTGGGATGGATCACCCTCCTCCCCCACGCTGATTGCGTGGGTACACAACCACAGTCCATTCTATGCGTTCCAAGTCCTCTACTCTCACGTGGTAGTCCTTGGAATCTGGCAACAGTCCTCCCCCAAGCTGGAGCTTTGGAAAATGTTTCAGTAGTCCAGGCAATTCTCCTTGCCCATGGCTTATCTCGGTCTGCACTGCTCGGTCCTTTCTCTCCGGCTGTTCTCCACCCGTTACCACCCTCCTTTATAACCTCTTTTCAAACAATCAAGTCCAGCTCCTCCCCCTTCTCAGCCAGACACACCTCCAGTAACCCTTTCCATTCCTTTCTCTCCTGATCTATTTCCACTAATACGCCTTCTATGCAGCCTTGACTTTCCTCCTGCTTCTGCTCTGTGGAGGACAGCACGCTGGCCTTCTCTCCTTCACAGGGAGCTACCCGGTGCTTGTTGGTTACCGGTGTATGTACTGTATGTATGTTATATGCCAGTGGTTCTTAACGTGGGTGATAATGCCCCCCAGGGGGTGATTTCATTTTTCAGGGGGGCGGTAGAACAAAAAGGGGCAGTGTGGGGGCGAAAGAACAGAAGGGGGCGGTAGGAGGGCGCTGGAGCAAGCCAAACCTGTGAAG